ATAGGTATAAAAGTGTACATGCGCAGATTGTCGGCTCTTGGTGTTGACATCATTGTCTACACACATACACTCACACACACGCACACACACACACATATATATACATACATATGTATATATATGCATATATATATATATATTATATTATATTTTATATATATATTATATTTTATATGCACGGTAGAAAGTGCTCAATATCATTGATAGAGCTAACATAATAAGTTGTATGGACATGAGTTTGTGACCCTGTGTGTCGCAAAGTCATATCCATACAACTTACTCCAAAATTCGCTTGAAGATGAAATGGAACTAATGTCTTTAATTTAATTACAAAATTAAATTCTAAGCTTTCAGCTTCCATTTCTGAAACATGGTTAGAACTGTGTAGCGAAAAAATATTTTAAATCAATTAATTTATAATATTAATGCTATGTAAATTTACATTGAGCACTATTTTTGTAAAAATAAAAATATCTATAAGAACACCGGATTATATATCTTACTGTTCTTTCTTTATATATATATATATATATATATATATATATATATATATATATATATATATATCAGATATATATATATATATATATATATATATATATATATATATATATATATATATATATATATATATATATATATATATATATATCATATATAAAATATATATCGATATAAAAAAAAAAAAATCGTGTCCTTTACGCTACCACGGTTTCTACCAGTGCGGCATGATCAAATTGTAAGAGTTACTCTTGATAATATTAATGATTAAAAGTGCTCTATATTTTTCTTTTTTACTTAAGTCGTTCTTTTACTCAAACGTTGAATTTTTGTAATATATATGTATATATATATATATATATATATATATATATATATATATATATATATATATATATATATATATAATTGAATATATATACATAGGTATGCGAGCGAGCGATCGTATATAAAGTATAATATATATATAATATATATGAATACTTATAGTGTAAGAAGGTAAAATAACAGACATATATACATTAAGCAATACACAGATAACAGACATATATACATTAAGCAATACACATATCTTGGTTAATATATATATATATATATGTGTGTGTGTGTGTGTGTTTGTATGATTGTTTGTGCGCGCGCACGCGCGTTCGCGCGCACCGGCGTACATATGTATGCATGTATATACGTCGGCTTTCTCACCATTTTCTATATCTTAAACTGCCATACATTGTCGTTTTTTAATTAAGCTGCTCCTTTTGGCAAATATTTTTTTGTCACATGTTGAATTTTGTACAGTATATATGTATGTATGTATATATATGTTTGTGTGTGCGTGTGCATATGTATGAATGTATACAATGATCGCTTTCTCACCATGGTTGATTTGTCAGGTAAGTGACTTTTTGGTAATATCAACCTGGAGAGGCGATCATAGGGCGCGGCACCATTGGAAAATGAAAATCATACTACGGGTTAACATAAGAGTAAGACTATTCAAAACAGACAACTGAAATTTTTCAAGATCAGCGTTCCATTTCAATATGATCACGTCGGCGTCACGTGGGCGATGTTTTAAAAACGTATTCCTAAAATATTTGATATTTCCCCTTTTCTAGCAAGATTAATGCTCGACAAACGTACATATAAGTTTTAGATTAAAATAAAGTTCTTTTCATTTTTCATTCAAAATACTATATATTTTGTCTGTTTTGATTAGTCTTACACTTATGTCCATCGTCTTTTCATGTTGAATTAAATATAGTCTAATGTTAATTATGTTTGTGAATATGTCCTGATGATGGTCTATTAGACCGAAACGTCCGACGTTGACATTATATTAACATTAAAACAGCATAATTGCATATTAGGATTTTTGTTTGTTTTTTCCGTATATATATATATTAATCGGTATCACCCCATGTAAGTATGAGTAAAGCCACTAAAACACAAGGAGTTACAGATTGTGGAGGAATTAGGAACGGAAACATTAATAATGAGCGGGAGGAGAGTATTCAGGAGAACAGTAGATAACGATTGACATTACATTTAAATTAAAGTTGGCTGGAAAGCATGGAACCGAAAGGGAGTTCCTCAAGCGAGAATTGCGAGAAAGGAGATTGTAAGCATAGAACTTGACGTCAGTCTAATACTGCGCGTAACATAGCAAAGAGCGATATATATTCTCGGGACAAAATGGGGAATGAGGACAAGGGCGGTCTTCATCTGTCTTAACTTTAAACTGAGCTAGCCACTGACCCAAACCTACCACAATATTCCTAACACCAAAACAACACATTTTTACTTACCGCATCCACCAAAATACCTCATTGTCTCTATGAACATCTTAACTAGTCCGTGAGAGGGACGGGAATAAAAATTAACATAGCGAAGAGCTCATCCGAACAATTACCATGAAAGTATTTATAGAAAAGTCACGGGGAGGTAAACTTACGGTGGTGAGAAAGCAACTGAAGACGAGCTGCCAGATCGGGACCAATAATATTGCTGATTCTTCTTTGGATTTTATCAAGGAGCTCTGGGTAAATAGGAGGGGTACAGGACCATATGTGGCAGCAATATTCTAAGTATGAACGAATGGTAGACTTATAGATATGTAAGATAGATTCTGGAGGGAAAAATTATCACGCACAACACAGAGAACCGACTTTCTTAGCTGCTGACCTATCAATGGATTCAATATAGTCTTTCCACTTCATGTCAGCTGAGAAGTATGTTAAAATGAAACAGGTGAAATCCAGTTGCATGTTGAAAAGATGTTCATTAAAAATTCAGATTTCGCTACTTTGTAAGAGGCTTTTCAAAATACTAAAATATCATCGATGTCTATAAATGCTTAAATATCTCCGGTATTTAGTATTTTTCCTCCATAAAGCGAGCACATATAAAAACCATTGGCCCCCTGTTACCAGCAACAATAGGGATAAAGGCTTCCTACTGTTACAACTGTCTGGTAGTAATGAGGGAGTGGTTTCTTCATTCATATAGTCATTCAACCACTCTCTTTATTTTAAAGAGAGAGAGAGAGAGAACGAGGGAGAGTGTGTGTGCGCGTTTGTGCGGCGTGTGTGTGAGAGAGAGAGAGAGTATATGTGTGGTTGACTGATCCTATAATGATTATCAGCACGAAAATCCGACTCAGTAAACCGAGATTTAAGTTTGGGCTTAGGTTCTTTTATTTGTTTTAAGCGGAGCAGATTCACATTTTCATCTATCTATCTATCTATCTATCTATCTATCTATCTATCTAAACTTAGTCTGTTCTATCTCAGTCTGTTAATATATATATATCTGTCAAACTCCCTGATCCTATCTATCTATCTATCTATCTATCTATCTATCTATCTATCTATCTATCTATCTATCTATCTATCAGGAGCATAGAAGAAACATCAGATATCAGAATTGGTTTGGAAAGGTCTCTGGTTAGAAACAAGAATTGCAGTTGATCTTAGGACTAATTTCATGTTAATGATTCGAGAATAACAAAACCATCTTCGACTTTTGTTAATCGAATATTGATTCTGTAAATAGTATTTTTTTTTCAGATCATCTTCATTGTTTATATATTAAAATTTCCTGTTGGACAAATTAAAAGATAGGCCTATACAGATTGAAAAATAGAAGGTTGTGTGTGTGTGTGGGGGGTGTTCATGTGTACGCAGAACATAGAAAATGACGTATATTTACGACAATTCTGAGCACGCACCCACTACATGGGTATATACGAATTCACATTTACACATACACGTATATCTATGTATAATATGTTTGTAGTTAAATTATGTTTCCGTGTTGTAGGTCAGGGTGCAGGCCCAGATGCGCATGCTCGCATTTTCTCATGCACAAATCTGTTATGAAAAAAAAAAAAAAAGGAAAAAATAAAAGAAATGATTGTAGTTTATTTGGCCAAAGGCAGGTTGTTACACGTCCACACATGCACTTGCACGAAATACCACTCGTTGGCTATAAGCACTGCCATTTGGCCGATTTAAAGAGGCCAGAGGATAAAAAGAAGGCGTTAAGTATCCTTAAGAAAAAAAAGAAAAAAATGGCGGGGGTGGGTTCTTATGTTAGCCGTTTTCTCGTTAATTTTTAGATTTTTGCTCACTTCCTTTTTTATGTTTTTTTTTTAACCTTACCTGTCATTTCTGAAAATCCCTTTCTAAATTCACGATCCTGCTTTTTCTCTTATTTCCCTACAAGAACCCTTGAAAGGACAAAGGGTTCTTTAAGCGTTACGTTACTTTGAATTTATTATTATTATTATTATTATTGTTGTTGTTGTTGTTTTTGTTGTTGTTGTTGTTTTTCTTTGATTTCTGGTGTGTACTTATTTCTTTCCGGGTCCCGCACAGAGACCTAAGTTCGGAAATGGCATCACGACATTTTCCCCTGAGCAATTAAAAAAAAAGAACAACAAAACATATATTTTACATTGATAAATCCCTTCGTAAAGTGTAGGTTGTACTCGTGAGAACAATTTTTTTTCTTTAAGGTATGGGCTTCCAGGAATCCCTTTACTTAGTCTACTGGAATCTTTTCCAACGAATTCGAGGGCTCCAACTACAACAGGGATTGTTGATGTTCCCATGTGCCACATTTTTGAGATTTCGATTTCAAGGTCCTTGTATTTTGATAGCTTTTTGAAGATCTTCAAAAATACATTGCAGTCTGCAGGAACTGCCATATCAATAAGGAGGCAATTTATTATTATTATTATTATTATTTATTTATTTATTTATTGACTTCGGAAGAATTACGTCAACAAAGTGAGGCTGGGTTAGAAATAATCGAAGCCCAGTGTACCTATCATAACACACAGTCTGATTAGCATACATTTTTTAAAAACGTTTTTATGATTATTGAATGAGAGAGCACCGCACAAAGGGAGGCACGGTGAAGTAATGAAAAGCGGCTCGGACTGAGGAATCGTGTATCACGCATGGCACCTGACTGACTGACTGATGTGTCATGCGTGATACACGCTTAGGCAATCATGCGTCTTTCGATACATGACTGACGAGGTAGATTTTTTCCCACAGTAGGTTGCCATTTCTTTCTGCGGTAGACCAGTTGCCATCCAAGGCTATAGAACCCGGTCTGGACTGCTATTTACCCATAGCTAGATGGAAAAGAAGAGGATTCACACCTTTCCCAAGGGTATTAGCACATAAGTGAATGTAATGGATTCGACTGGAATTCGAACTCGGCTCTCCGATTCCTCAACCCGAGCCGCTATCCATTCTGGGTTACAAATATATGAAATCAGATATCCTCATCATGGCACCCGGTTTGATGAGGGCATATCGGTAACATTATTATTATTATTATTACTGAGATAGAAATGCACCAACAAAGTAATACCGGTTCCCTGTGTTATCACCGAAATAAGCAACGTCGATTCTGTTCAGTACCTAGATGGGTGACCACTTGGGAATACCAGATGCTATAAACTTGGATGTGTGCGGGTGGTGAAATGAATAATAGGTTGGCATTTTTAATCGGAGAACCGAGTTTCGATTCCAGTTGGGTTCGTTATATTCCTTTACGCGGAAATAACATTAGGAAAGTTATGAATTCATTTCTTCTCCACTAGCTATGGATTAATTAGTAAGATTTGTATCAATAAAACCATCCTCCGCCACCTCCAAAAAAATTATTACAATCTATATTTTCTGGCTTTAAATAACTTGCAAAGGGTTTATAAGCTGTAGTAATTGAATCAATCAATCAAATCTCACAAAATGATGTCAGAGTACAAATATAGAAAGCCTATCATGATACCCAGTTTGATAAGTGTAAATCAAGCACGTTATCATTATTATTGCTTGAGACAGCAGTACCCTAACAAAGTAATGTTAGGGTACGAATATGGGATGCCCACCATGATACCCGGCCTCATAAGGGTAGCTCGAGCATGTCATTATTATTATTGTTTGAGACAACGACACGCAAATAAGGTGAATTTAGCGTACAAATATGGGAAGCACACTATGACTCTCAGTCTGATATGTGTACACCGGGCACATGCATCACAGCTAAAGATGTGCAGTATGGTAGCATGTTATGATAAATGTCGTGCATAATCTAGTTGGAAATATTTTCAAGTCTTGTAATCCAGTTCGCCCACTTGGTTTCCGATTGAGAGTTTTCCCAAATATTTATGTAAGACTCTTAAGTCGCCTTGGTTGCCTCATATTTTAAACTTAGGAAAACAACCCTGTCAACATCCGACCATGCTGCTACTCTCGCCCATGAACTGAGATGCACAGTGCGTCAGCCTCTAATGGACATGCCGAACTGGTTAGAGTCAAGCAACTGATACGCAGGCATGTGTTACTGAACAGTTAGTTTACTGTAGCCAATTTTCATTCAGCAAGACAAATTATATGCATGCTAACCCCGCCTAACAATTAAGATCAGAAGTCAGGAGTTCCGCGACTTTTATTATTATTATTATTTTCTTTGATTTCTGGCGTTTACACATTTCTTTCCGGGTCCCACCCAGGGACCTAAGGTTAGAAATGGCATCATGACACTTTTCACTGACAAAAAAAAAAAAAAATTACATAGATAAAGCCCTTCGTAAAGTGTGGGCTGTACTTGTCAGAACAATTTTTTGTATCTCTTTGAGGCATGGACTTCCAGGAATCCCTTCAATTAGTCTACTGCAATCTTTTCCAACCAGTCCTAGGGCTCCAGCTACAACAGGGATTGTTGATGTTCCCATATGCCACATATTATTATTATTATTATTATTCCTTTCTTAATGAGATAGTACGTACGCTACCTCCTACCAATAGCTAATAAATGATGAACAATTACATTTTAATCGCGAGTAAAGAAGAAAGAGGAAAGAATCAATAGCTTCATCTACTGCAAGGAAAGTTGGCTCTCTGTGTTGCGCCAAAAAGTTTTTTCTCGTCTGAGTCCATCCTTGAAATCTATAAATCAACCATCCGACCTTGCATAGAATATTGCTGTCATATATGGTCTAGTGCTCCCGCTGTACGTCTCGAGGTCCTTGACAAAATCCAGAGACAAATATGCAAGATGATAGGTCCTGATCTGGCATCTAGTCTACAATCGTTATCCCACAGACGTGCTGTGGTTTCCCTCTGTCTCTTCTACAAGTATTTTCACGGCAACTATTCTGACGAGCTACTTTCGCTGGTTCCCGGACTGCATGAATTTAAACGAGCTACCAGGCTGGCATCTCGGTCTCATCCTTTCACTGTCAAAACGGTTAAATGTAACCATCTCTTCTACTCAAACAGCTTCTTCTCCCGCACTTCCCGTCTGTGGAACTCCCTTCCTCTTACTTGCTTCTCCGATGACTATAATCTTCAAATATTCAAGTGTAATGTCAATCGACGTCTGACACCCTGAGGTTGTTCCCCGTCCTTCTCTTTATCCTTTCCTCAAACACGCCTCTTTACTCTTGTTCTCAATCATACGTAACCCCCACCTGCGTGCTAGTGGCACTCCTGCCTGGCATGGTGTGAATTTTTTTTTTTAAAGAGGTCACAGTGGAGTAATGGATAGCGGCTAGGATTGAGGAATCGGTTCGAATACATTACCTTCACTTACGTGCTAATATCCTTGGGAAAGTATGAATCCTCCTCTTCTCCCCACAGCTATGGGTAAATATATTCTATAGCTTTGCATGGCAAGCCTAACCTCTACCGCAGAAAGAAATGGCAACCTACTGCGGGAAAAAATCTGCCTCGTCATGTATCGAAATGATCGCCTAAGCGTGTATCACGCATGGCACATATGTGAACTGAAAGAAGAAAAAGACATATTGAGGTAAAAGGTGATAATCCTCAGGCGTTTAACGTCTGTTCATGAAAACCCACAATTTTCATTTGTAAATGACCTGCATTCATATTTTGTAAATGCTAATGCATATTGTTTTGTTAAATTTGTCAAGTTCTAATATTTAACATGCAATAAGCCTTTTCAAGCGTAATTTATTGTCGCAGAATTCGCAAGAAGTTTATTCAATCATTAACTTAAGAATTATGAAAAAAATTCAAACAGCGAAACTGTGAAATGTTCATGGATATTTCCGTTATCATTATTATTATTATTATTATTAATAGTCCAATTTCAAGGGCAAATATTTCGTGTTTGTATCGTTAAACCCATTAAGAAATCTGGACAAAAAAAAGAAAGAGAGACTGAAAGAGATTCATGAAAAACTAAAGAATGTTTCCCATTAATAGCTGGCGGACGTCTGAATGAACAAGCCACAACAAAACAATACTGAAAGAATCAGAAGCCGGTTGGAAGAGAAGTGGGAAGGAGTAGAAAGAAAGTGGATGCGAATGTGAATGTGTGCGTGTGCGCGCGCGCGTATGTGTGTGTGTGTGTGTCTGTGTGTGCCAGCGTGTGTTCGGAGCAAACCCGAGGCAATAAAAGTACCACGATTGATAGAAAATATTTTCACTGCCTGCAACACTTTCTAGTTATTCCTTTTTCCATGCTCTCGAACCACCCGTCTTTCCAATTTGTCAAGTGTCCTTTATGCCGTAAAGGCGCGGACGATTATAGCTAACCCATCCTTTGAATTGCCATTTTCACCTTCGCAATGAACGGGTGTCTCACAGGAAGCCCCCTCTTTGGGACTTAACCCAGACCTGAAGTGAATCTCAAGCCAAAAAATGGTTGGTTCCTTTCCCTGTACCGCTTTAATAAGTACCTGACCTCATCTGCTGTCCTCTGCCTTTACAAGAGCCACATCAGGCCGAAAATTGAGTACCGCTGCCATATATATGCTGGAGCTGCATAGTCTTAACCTTCCAGTCTTGACAGAGTCCAAAAGCGGCCCCACCTCCTTGTGGGTGATGAATTGCTTTCCATCCTACAACCCCTTTCCCACGGATAGAACATCTCAAGCCTCTGGCTACTCTATCGCTATTTGGACGGAAAGTATTCAGACGAACTACGTTCCTTAGTTCCATCAGTTATAATCTTCTTGGCTAAGACCTGTCATGCCATGCACGTTATAGCCGACCACCCGCCTTCCCTCCGTATTCCATTGTTTAGATGTAAGTTTCAATCAAGCAGCAGCTTCTCCCGAATGGCTGCTTTGTGGAACCTATTCCCAAGAGGATGCTTTCCTGGTCGCTACAATCTTAACCTATTACCATGAAAGTATTTATAGAAAAGGCACGGGGAGGCAAACTTACGGTGGTGAGAAAGCAACAGAAGACGAGCTGCCAGATCAAGACCAATAATATTGCTGATTCTTCTTTAGGAGCTCTGGGTAAATAGCACGAGAACCGGACCATATGTGGTAGCAATACTTATTTTTAATAATTTTTCATCCCATTCAAGGAAATAAAGCCACTAAGACGCAAGAGGTAACTGAGTATTAAGGAATATGATGAAAAATACATTATTAAGAATTAAGAAAACAGAAGATTCGTCTGTTGTTAATCTTTCTCTAGAAGCCATCTTCTTTTTTCCTTTGCTACAAGCTGTCTTCTTATTACTTCCTTGCAAGCTCCCTTCTTTCTTCTTCTCTGCAAGCCTTCTTCTGTCTTTTTTGTAAGACCTCGTATTTCTCCTTCACTGCAAGCCCACTTTCTTCTCCCCCCCTCTTCAAGCCTCCTTCTTTCCCCTTTTCGGCAAGCGCTTTATCTGTATACCCCCCCACACCTTCTCTACAACCCTAATTCTTTTTCCCTATCTGCTTCTATCTTTTTTACTTTCATCTATAGACTGACTGTTCACCACTTTCCTACTTTCTTTTGGAAAAAAAATCGATCTCAGCTATTCTGGTATATCGACATATCTCACATTTTTTTCGGGGCAAAATGAACGTTCCCCAGCAACGCTTGTTAATTTTCGGATTTTTTCCATTCACCTACACTCATTAATTTTTTATTAATCCCATTAACCCTACACAACAAATAAATTTGCTGGAAATTTTTATTTTGAAATATACTGCGGTGGAACACTCTTGCATTGCAAACTTTCTTTTAATGAAATATCTTATATGTTCGATTCACTTCAACTACAAACCTTATAGTTGTGTAGGAACCTACCACCCCTCTTGAAGATGAACTCGTCTACAAACAAGGACGTTAGATAGTGGCATGTCAAAAGACAGTGTCGAAGAAGTTCTTGAGCTGAGTTAGTTATAGACTACTTAGGCGATATCTGTACCAACTTACCAACCGAATAAACCCCATTTTATTGTTACATGTTATTTGGCGTTTGTTATTACCCCCAACCCCAAATTAACCCCAAATTAACATCATAACACTTATAAATATGGCGGCATTCAAAAATGTCCTCATCTTTATTGTCATATTCACCATATTTTGGCCGTTGTACGCTCCGGCCTTCGGGTGGACACCTGAGCCAGTGGATAAAAGCGTTGGTTGAAGTAATCCAGAAGTGACTTGACCCAAAGATACCTGGCCACAGCAGAGGTGAACTAAAACTTGGAGAGTTACTAAAGGGAAATAACTGAAACTAACATATCCAGAAAAGGCATGGCACGTGGAACTAGAACACTCTACCCCGTGGACTAAATAAATTGTTGGATTCGAAATTCCAACCTATATATATTTTGAAGGTCGTCGCGTACAACGGGCGAAATGTGAATATGTCACTAAAAATGAGGACAAGAGTCCGAACAATGTAAGTATAGAGTGATTTTTAGTTTCATTTTGAGGTATTATTTTGGGTATATATTATTCATTTGTGGGCCATTGACGAACATTCATTTATATTGTAACGTTGGCAAGACATCAAGGAAATTATTTTCTATTTTCCCCAGTCACCCTCATTATTAGAGCCCACTGTTTATTACCAATCATTATCAAAGCTGTTTCAACTTGAAAGCATAGTTCTCATCTTCAGTATCGTTGTTTGCTTCCGAGCATGACCATCTTCTCGGGCTCATTTGTCAGTATTCAGCACCCACAGAGTTAAACTGTAGTTTATACTGCAATTATGTGTTTATTAACTTACCCCACGGCCGGTGCATACGATCCACAACCCCCCCACTCTTGATATTAAGCCTGATTGGGGCCACCGGGTAATGTTTTGTGACCTTCGCTGTTTTATCAATATTTGCTTTTTTCTACCTACATTTATGTAAGTTACAATTGAAACTAAGCACAACTGACAAAGGATGAAAACTATTAGCCAATCTTAATATCATTCTAGGGTTTTTTTGTTTTGCCCGTGCTATGTCTCGAAAAAAAAAAACACGATATAAAATTCACTGTTTTTTTTATCCATAACATAAAATGTGTTAAAATTCTTCAACATTTTAACAAAAAAAAAATCTGAAGTTAATGTTAAAAATTGCCACAAAACATTGTTGATTTATTCAAGATGGAATGATCTATTATGACAGGTCTCTAATTTGTATTTAGATATATTGTATCTAATTAAAAAATTTTCCAGTCGAATTGTTCACCTGTATTGCATATGACCCATTACTGAACATAATTAGGTTAAAATAAATTTTTAGTTTCTTATTTTGGGACGTTGTTGGGCATATATTATTCATTTGTGGGCCATTGACGAACATTCATTTATATTGTAACGTTGGCAAGACACCAAGGAAATGTTTTCGAATTTGTAAGACATTGAATATCATTTATTTTTAGTTTTATTTCATCGAGGTCATATTATAGTTTGAAAGACATGTGTTTAATTATTTCGAAACCCTACCCGTTTATTAGATTTTCTATTTTTTCCAAAACCACCGTTTATTACATTTTCTCTACTTCATCATTTATAACAACATCGACATTTCTATTTCGCTCCCGAGAGTAGGGCTATCATTAATGTTTTGGACAAGTAAATTTATTTTGTTCGTCTGCATTTCTTCGTTATACTCTACAGGACTCCTTTCTTCTTTGTAGCTCATTTCTTTTCTCTCTGTAATCCCTCTTCACTTATCTTCTCAGCGTGCCCTCTATCTTCTTTGCAAGCCCCTTTCTTTCTTTTGCCGAAAACCTCTTCTTTTTCTTCTACAAGCCCTCACGTGTCTCCTTCTCTGCAAGACCTCATCTTTCCTCTTCTGTAAGTATACGTCTTTCTTCGTTGCAAGACTTCATCTTTCTCTAATCTGTAAGCCCACTTCCGTCTTTTTAAATCCTTTTCTTTCACCTTCTTCGCAATCCCTCTTCTTCATAAGAACTTTTCTTTATTCTATGCAAGCCCCCACTTCTTCCTTCTTCGTAAGACCTCTTCTTTCTCCTTCTCCGAAATACCCCTTCTTTCTTCTTCGTAAGACGTCTTCTTTCTTCTCTGCAAGCCCCCTTTCTTCCTTCTTTGTAAGACCTCTTTTTTCTCCTTCTTTGAAAGACCCCTTCTTTCTTCTTCGTAAAACCTCTTCTATCTTCTCTGCAAGTCCCCCTTCTTTCTTTGTAAGACCTCTTCTTTCTCCTTCTCTCATTGTCTGCTTCTTTCTTGTCTATTTTGCCTCTTTCTCTTGGAGAAGTTGAAATACCTGATAATTATACGTAGAACCATTTTTCAAATATGGCTGCCGGCAGTTGGTATCACTTTGTGCTAATGACATTGCAAGTTTTGACTTCTGCGCTTTTTTCAAAAGTAATTTCCATAATGGAATGTTAGATGGCCGTCTTGTAATTTAAAACCTTTCTTCCCGTGGTTTGTTATTGGTGTATGCCTGCGTGTGATTGCTTTTATTGACTGTGTGATCCTATGATAAATTTTCTAACAAATCAGTTACGTCCATGGATTGTTTTCTATTTGTTTCATACGATTTTCAGTCAGATGTCTCTCGATTGACGAGGCGGAGAGTCTAAAATATTGACCCCACCACCGCCAGTCACAAATGCATTGAATCTTGCTCAGACTAAAAACTTTGTCAGGCAGAAGCATGAGTAAAAATAATGTATTCTGGCAATTCGTTTCAGAGTGCACCAGTCTGCTAGGGTGGCTTGTTAATCCCCGTTACATACACCTGCTCGAACATTTGTGTTTCACTAGCACGCACAGAGCCAAACTTTGGCTTATACTGCAATTATGCGGAGTATACCTTAATTACTAAGGAAGAACGCATGATCAGCAGTTGAAAAAAAGTTAGTATTTTGAAACCCTCAGTCACGATGACTTGCGAATTGAGGCTACATAATATTCTCAGTATCCATTTGTAGAACCACCTTTCTGTCGTTTCAAGTTTCTTCTTCGTCTGTGGGAAAATTGTCCAGCATTCACTGTTATATAGGAGAACTGGTACTAAATAACAGTTCAGTACTATTTTCTTTGTTTTTAACATCAGTATACAATATCAGTGTGACGCATTATAAATTCAGAATTTTTACATGGCAACAGTGCCGTGATGTCACAACGTAGCGAGGTTTCGAGAGCGCCACCAGAAAGTACTACACTTCAGTAGTTGTCTAGCCACTGACGCACGAGGGGCTTAGTAATCGACGGGTCTTCAGAAGACGATCGTTGGGCGACTGTTGTGGAGAGACTTCGCGCCGACCCCAAAGTCAAGGAAATCATTCATTTCTTTAAATACACTAAAACCATGGTCTGCGACCCTGCAAAAGCGTATGGGACTTCAGAAGACTAGAACAATTTCAGGTCAGAACGTAAGACGCTCTGTCTCCACAAGGACGCTCAAGATCGTCGTCGAGGTTGTCACGGAGAACCTCAGCAAAAGCATTTGGAAAATCCCGAAGGAAATTGGCACCAGCAGACGAACAATCGGGCGTATTGTCAAGGAGGACTTGAATTATAAATCTTATGTTCTTAAGAGGCGCCACTTGCTCACCGCGCCAGACGCAATCTTTTCGACTATTTTGTGTGGAGCATCTCGGAGGGAGGTGAACAGCACCGAAGAGGCTCTTAACGCAGGTATCAGGGACGCCAGCTTCAACATGGACAGGGACGCTGTCGCTAAGTCCTGCTCCGGGTTCTGGTCACGCCTGTGGTGGCTTCCGATGGTGGCCACATTTAGTGATTTTTCTACCTTATATATGTGCCTATGTATAAAGTTTAATTGAAATATATTAATTTGTTATATAAAAAAGATGTTTTATTATTGTTTTTCAAGGATTTATCTGTACCACACTGTATTTATACAAAATTTACAAAAAGCTTTAAAAATAATTCTATTTATTTCTGAATAATTTCCGATATTTTCCTATAATTAACTGTTTTTTATGTTTTAAATAACATTTAAAAACTCAATGATGAGAACTGTAATAAAAGCTAAGCATATAAAGTTAATTTATACATATTTTGCTCTTGAGAATTCACAATAAAAATATTAAACACTATTTGTTTACTAGTTTGTTTATTTACAAGAATAATTTTATACATTCCAAAAATTAATACACTTACAACTAATGTAATAAGTCCGACTTTACCAATTTATGAAGAAATAAACATGAAAACATTTTTTATTCATAAATTTATAAATATTTACTAAATTATTAAAATATGAAAACCATCTATAAGGGAAATCATTATTTACCATTTTATAAAGATCGAATCAATTGACAATTTGACAATCTTTCCAATAAATACTGTATATCTTCTTTTTTGATTAAACTAATGCTGATGTACTGTAGGATTTTTAAAAACAAGAGCTATAAAAATAAAAGTAAAAACAATCCGCGGTAGAAAGCTTAATGAGGTCAGCTAAATTATACGTCTAGATACACTGGATATCTGAAATTTAAATTTAAAACTGAGCCTACCTGTACCACTAACTTTTTTTTGGTAATGTTGTGACCGGTGTTCATTGTTTTTCCCCTACTATATGTAGATTAGACTGTCGTTACGTAAGAGATTATTTTGTCATTAGATTACCCACTGTTAGTCTGATATGTAGACATTTTCTAAATGTCCGGGATTTTTCATAAAAAAGTGTCCTCCGACAGGAATCGAACCTGCATCCTAAACGGAACACTCATATAGCCTGACGTGCTATACCATTTAGCTACAGAGGAAGCGTCTGGTTAGCAAAGTCAAATTACTGTTTTTAAACAAGAAATTCCCCGTGATTTTTCTCGAACGCTCTTATCTGCTCGAAGCGTAGCTTAACGTAAACAAATCACATCATATGTTATAAAAAGTCCGACAATTATTTTAATATATTTTCTGTTTATACGTTATTTTTTATAGATACAAATATTTATGTAAATGCTCTGTTTATAAAAAAAATATTAATTGCATTAATTGCATAATGCCAAGCAGTACAGCATACCGTTTCAAAATTTCTGGCGGAGTGAATTGCGTCATGGAACTCTCTTTCGTACAGTCGGTGCCCAACTGACCCAACAATACTGTAAAGTCGATAAAATCAAAAACAAGCAATGCGCATGCGCGGAATTAAAAATATAAAATGACAAAATTTTACCCATTGTACCCTGTACACACACACACACACACACACACACACACACACACACACACACACACACACACACACACACACACATACACATATATATATATATATATATATATATATATATATATATACAGAGAGAGAAGGAATTAATACATTTTATTTATGATCTTATTACTTTAAACGTCATATTTAATGGCTACACGTGTTTTAACAGTGTAAATCTATGTCTACCGGCCTTGAAGGCACTTGGGGGAAGTCTTAATAAAGATAATGTACCTTACGACAGGGTTTGTATACCCCTCTCCTTATCGGTCCGAACTCCGCAAGAAGGTACCTTTTTTTTTTGACTCTCAATTACACCGACCGGTAGCCGTAAATTTATTATTATTATTTATCTCTCTCTCTCTCTCTCTCTATATATATATATATATATATATATATATATATATATATATATATATATATATATATATATATATATATATATATATATATATATATATATGTTCTCTCTCTATCGATCCCCTCTCATCTATGATAAGAATATAGTTTAAAATATGCAATTTCTATATATATTATTTATATATTATATATGCGCAGTAATTATTGGAAAGCGCTCAATATCAGTGAGAGAGCTAACATATTTATTTTCGTTGATGTGAGTTTGCATCACATCAACGCATATATATATATATATATATATATATATATATATATATATCTATTATTCATTCATCTATCTATCTATCATCTATCTATACATGTTCATATCTATCTATCTATCTTCGTTTGATTGTATCTATCTGTTGTATGTCGGTCTGTATATGTGCGTCTAATTTGTGTGTGTGTCCGAGCATTCTGTGTCTTATTATCTATGCCTATTAATGTACAGAAGTGTTTCTATTCATATCCATGTGTATCTATATGTGTATATGCACCTATGTGTTCACGCGTATGCGCGTGTTTAAGGCATGCGCGTGCGTCTATACGAAGTTGTGTCTATGTGTTCTAGATCGTTATTGAGAGTGGGTCAGTCGGCAGGCAACTCCACCTTAATTTCGTTCACTGACGCGTGCATCACACCCAAGAGATTGGAATGACCAGAACGAGCCTGTGCCCACCCCGCCTCAAACATGTATAGACGTGATCGTGTACCTGGACGAACCGGGCCGGGTGACACCTCTTAATGACATCAGAGAAGGTAATAAATAGTCGCCTAGGAAGAGATAAAATTTACAGCTCAACTCATCCGCCATTGTCCCATTTGAGTATTTACATTTTTTAAACGTGCAATTCTTCTTCTTTATGTGCCGTGTCCCTTCAGGACGTAGGCTATCATGGCTCTCCCCAATTTCCTGATCAGCCCAGCATGTGGGAAAAATCGTATCATAGGTAAATATATACCTGTGAGGAGAGAAATTCCTTGAACGAACTTGGGGGAAGAAGAAAGAAAGCCACCAAACACACACTCACTCGCCGGCAATAAACTGACGATATCCGTAATTAAAATTGTTGTTTATTTAAACAACAATTTTAATATGCGTAAATTGACATGACTTCTTGAGATAGGGCGTGTTTTCCTATTGTTTACCTTTTAAATTCAAAGTTTTTCTTCTTAGAATGACTGCTATTTATCCCATGGGTCACCGCCTGCAATGTACTATATATATATAGTACATTGCACGGTGGAGTAATGGATAGCGGCTTGGATTGAGGAATCGTAGAGCCTAGTTCGAATTCCAGTCGAATCCATTACATTCACTTACGTGCTAATACCCTTTGGAAAAGTATGAATCCTCTTCTTCTCCCTCCAGCAGGACAGACTGGGTTCTATAGCCTTTGATGGCAACTGGTCTAGGAGAAGGACAACTCTGAATTCAAAACCTGCAGAGGGTCGTTTGATTTGAACCTTGTGGCACTTAGTGCACCAGGTCTCTGTATTCGTCCTTTCAAAAAGTGTGGATGGTCCTGCACGAAACCTTCACCACTATAATCAAATCTCATGTGCCGTTGTAGGGCTGTCCGTTTCCTGAAAACTGATCTGCTTGACCCTCATACGTCGAATATCGACGGGAGAGTCGAATATATATATATATATACATATATAAT